TATATATATATACATACATACATATTATATATAATATATACATATATATATATGCATGTGTGTTGAAGTATGTATATGTATATGCATATATGCATAAGTATATAGATATATATATATATAGATATTTATATATATAGATATATATCGATATATATAGGTATATACAGATATATAGATATATAGATATATAAAATTGTATTTAGATTTGTTTAAGTTCGCAAACCGACTATATTCTTCCTTGCCTTTCCTAATTTCCCATGCAGGAAGATGAGTTCTTTCTTGAACCATACGGTGTACGTACCCTCCAGTATGCACAAGAAATATCAGTATCGTGACCCAGTAGACTCGGCTCGGACTTCAACACAAGAACACCCTATACCTGCACACAGGTGAGTGTGTCTGTGTATGTCTGCGTATTATATAAACATGATTGTCAATGTAGTCTCTGCGTGATTAGGGTGGGATCATAACGATCATGATAGATTGTTGTGCATTCATGTATTGGCATAATTATTTCATGTGTTAAAGTGTGGGTAAGTAAGTAGCAGAGGCATATTGGTCACCACTTGTGGTTGATAGCGTAACAATGATGGTTCTTGCTTGTGCGAGTGACGTTCTATTGTGGTCGGTTCTTTTAGCAAATTGGGGAGCGGATATTTCGCTTCTAATACCAGCATATCTTGATTTATAATCACTGAAGCGTATAAAGATATCTCGCAGTCCCACACATTTATACTGAAATGTATACTTATATCTCGCAGTCCAACTCGAGACCAGCTTTGATGTCAGCAGCCAAGCCCTACAAATGAGATCCTACATGCTGAAACCTCATTATCGGAAGGCTCGCCATCTTAATCGAAATATCTTTTCGAGTGTTGTAGTTTGTGGGGTAAATAATCTTTAACACTCTTTTTTCCACCTCATGCGCGGTAAATCAGATTCATCTCAAGTTTCCAGACGCACGCATCGCATGTACCTGAGACTATGCGCGCACACTTCGCGTACAACCCTTTGGAGGTGACTTCGGGGAGGAACCGCGCTATCACAACAGCCGATGGGGGCCATACCGTGAGGGTCACCGAGGCTCCAAAGGATGAGCACTTGCCTGTTGTACCTGCGAACAAGGAGCAAGTCTCGAAATCACCTCAGGTGTGATATAAATACACACATATATATATATATATATATATGTATATATATATATGTATATATATATATGTATATATGTCTATATATATATGTATGTTGTATGTATGTATGTATGTATATATATGTATATATATATATATTTATATATATATATGTATATATATGTATATATATATATATTTATATATATATATATATATATATATAGTGTTTTTGTTTGTGTTGTTGTCTGAGTCTGAGTCTAAGTTTGTATTATACGGACGGTGTAGGTCAAGTAGAATGATACATACAGTAGAGAGAGGCTGTGTAAGGTCTGTCAAATTGCATAGCACGGCCGATGGGGGGACATACTGTATGGGCTACCGATACACCAAAGCTAATTCTTGATTTTGGTGGCTTCAAGTAGGAGTGAGGCCAAGCCGCCTCAGGCTTGCACTTCACACACGTCGATACAGATAGTCTTGGTACATAATATTACTTCTACATAAGTTTCTATTAAGCCGCAGAACAATTGCACGCCACAGTTGCACGATTCATTTCATGTCATATTGTGCCTGTGAAGCGTCGATATACAAGTTACAAACTAAATTGCGACGCACAACCGTTTTACAGTTGCACGGAGTGGCCGACAGCATCAAGAACACCTGGCATGCGCTCCGCAAGACATTGCCCAAAGACAAGAGCCACAAGAAGGACAAGGACGAAAATCACTCCCGCGCAAGCAGAAGCAGCAAGAAAAGTGCCAAGAGTCAGAAGAGTGAGAAGAGTGCTACTAGTGGGCACACCAGCCCATCTGTGACTGCATCCGACAAGAAGTCGCACAGTAGTGGTAGCTCAGCGAGCGGCGCCGGGAAGCCTGTGGGATCTGCTAGTGTGGAGAAGCTCGAGGGAGCCCTAGCCGAACCCAGCACCGCTCCAGACTACAACGGCACGGTATCCAACATCACCAGTGGCAAAGGAGAGGTGCCTGAGACGGGTGTAGTAGTGCAGAAGGACAGGACAGGAGACGTTACTAGTCCTAGCTCCAGCTCGAGTGAAGGTACTGCTGCTGCGGGTGTGCATACGAATACACAGACCGATGGTACAGGCACATCCCCAATCATAGACACAGCGGTGGCTGTGTTGCCCATAGCACGTCCCGATGCCGATGGCGTAGTGTCCGCGCAGGTGGACAGTGTGCCAGCCACGGAGTCAGAGAGTTCTGCTACACCCACTACTCCCACTACGGCTCAGACTCAGAGTAAGCCGCAGAGTGAGAGTGCTGCTGCGAACGACAGTGATGAGGATGAAAAGTTCCACGATGCCAAGGAGAGTTTCAAGAAAAAGGGCCTGTTCCATCAACTGTCCTCGCTTATGAGTGGGGTCAAGAAGGACAAGACATCCAAGAGCTCCAAGGACAACACCCCGCCAAACAACCTGAAGCCTAGTACGCCTTCTGGCACTACACCAGAGCCAACTGCCGATGTCGCAGAACCGCATGAGCCAGGCACTACCCCAGCTGTGTGAAACTGCAGCGTAGAAGTTATTTTTCACGCAAACTTGAATTCTATGCGCATGCCTTGACTGTATACGCTTGTCGTAGTGTATGCGCTTACTTGAATAGTGTACACGTGCTTTTGTATGCTTCAAATGACGATCTGTATACGAATATATACGTGGAAATCGCTTTTGATACGTGCCAAACAGAGAAAGTAGTTTATGCAAACGGGCCTGTACCAGAACATGCAATCATGTACGAGTTTTCTTCGGCGTGGAGCAATGAGATGAGGATCTGCAATCCAGATTCGGGCATTCGCACACTCGCGTCGCTATATTTGATAATTCCCAGAGAAATGCATCTATTTGTACAACGTTGTCCGATATATGCATGGAACGAGTAGGTCATACACCATACCGGAGAGAAAATAAACACGGTGAAACAGTCGACATAGAACTGAAGTTTGTGTATCGCGATCTTACAGCACTCATGTTATGCCCCATATCATCGATGTGTATCCACACTGCAAGTCGAATCAGTTCGAGCCAATCAACCGCTTTTATAGCATGCGTTAGTCCTTATCAGTTGACATGGTCCTAGCGATCGCAACGTGGTATTGTGTCTTGGTCGCAGGCACTCCTGTCGAGTTTACTATTCACCCCATTTCCCCACTAACCCACACTTCGTGTGCTTTTGAGGGCATGACTCACTTGACTGATTTTGCAACAAGTGTGCTACACCGTTCAATACCGATAAGGCGTTCCTCGATAGTGCCAAGTGCATAGGTCAAACTCGATTCGATTCTACTGTGCTTCATCCAAAATGCTATGGCTTATGGCGAAATATCGTATTTATCATCCTTACCATGAGTACAACAAACACCTCGCTAGTTGAACTAAAAATAAGTGTGTATCGGATTTAAAGATTTCAGTGCTCGTTTGACAACTTTATATTCCTACTTGGTGGGATGTACACAAATACCCGATCTTTTAATCATAAAATCATTCAAACGCTTCTGCCGTGTATTTCAGTCGCCGTATGTAGGGATATATATGTTGGATTGCCTTTAAACCTTCTGTAGGTATAGTAAATATGTAGAAGCACACTAACTATTGTAAGGCTAGAAAAACGGGCCAAACAGAGGCTTCTACCGTTTAAGGGGTCTTCGATCCTTCGATCCTTCACTAGAGGGTGTAATGAAAACCACAAAACTTGATTACGGGATTAATTAAGAAATCGAGTTCAGGATGTAATATGTACCTATGAGGGGTACTTCCAAGTTACGCTTTCAGTAATACAGTTTGGAGGTACTTTGAAGCCTTACGCCTTAAGTTATTTTTATTAAAAAAAAGTGACTTGCAGGTACGCTTTCAGTGATAAAACGACAGCAGAATCCAGAAAGTCAAAGAGATACTTAGTATATTTGCATATATGTACTAAATTTATATAGCGTGTGTGTATCATGGATACTGAATGTATTTAGTGCGTTTGTAATACATAGTTGACTGAAGGTACCTGCTGTATAGTATATATTCCATTGTACTGGAGAGATACTATATACATCCTATCGAGAATATGTATCGACTTTGAATGTTAGACTAAAAACAACATTTGAGAATGTAACTGTAATTGTGGTAAGTCGTAAAGTAGGTTGCTCTAAAGGTTAGGAACAAGTGCACGGGTTTTTTATAAAAGTTATACCGGTAACATCTATGATTAACAAGTGCGGGGGTTATGTGATGAAACGTGTCCGTTAGTACTTCTTGATACACTGTCATTGTCGATGAAAAAATAAAACTTTGCGTATGTGCCCGATCGGGTGCGTCCGTATTTATTTTAGCATAAACCCGTTAGCAGATAGGTATGAATACAGGCTTGGTAACTACAGTATGAAATACCTGTGTATCTTTTCCCTAAGGTACAATCCACGTGAGAATAGAACTTATACACTCACGAGATGTACAATGTTCACAAAAAAGTATTCACTTGCCTATACAGAAGATACAAATACTTTACACGTATAAACAAGATAATACGATGATAGGTACTATGTTTTGCAGTTCTGAAGATAAATTCTAGGGTTTTCTTATACCTATATAAACATTCTATTCATATCCGCAACGTGTCTACGATTACATCGCATGACTTTCAGAGTTTGCATCTGGACAAAATTGCTTGAAGATAAAAGCTACATTTTGTTCACAAATTCAGTTGCATGCAAATCCACATATACAATCAATGTAGTAGTACCTTTGCGACATAGTTTGAGCAGCTGATAGTATCAATTGTCAATGACGCAGTTGAAAAACGAGTTGGTTGTTGTGAATCCGATGTATATATATATATATATATATATATATATATATATATATATATATATATTTCTATATTCTACACATGAATCCTCAATGGTGGTAAAATAGATAAATCAAATATCTTCACCCGTACAGTCAATTCGACCCTCAGACGACAATAATTTATTATTACACCACACTAATCCAGCGGGCTTATTTCCACGCCAGTGGCTGGGAATATTTCACTATCACAGGTAGGATCTATGATGACAAACGTCCAGGGGGATTCGACATCCATTAATCTTTCGAGGTCACTGACAGTCTCCATAATCTTTTTTCTGCAATACAATCGACAAAATACAGTCAACAATAGACAATATTCAATCAAAAGTGCACTTTTCGGACACGAACAGCCAACAATGGTCCTGCTTTCGTATTTGGATCGCTTTCTGGTACACGTAGAAATGTATATGCCCGTGTATGAAATAAACAGTTTAAGTTTCTTTATATATATATATATATATATATATATTCATGTGTGCATGTATACATAAATATATGTGTGCATGTATACATAGATACATGTGTGCATGTATTCATATATATATAATAAATATAGATATAATAAGTACAACCATGCACACATACATACACAAAAACATACATACATACATACATACACACACAAACACATTCATATATATATATATATATATATATACCTATATATACATTCATATATAAGCAATAATATACATATATATTAATCTATATCTATATCTATAATAAATGGATAAAATAATAACAATAATATATTCATACATGTATATATATATATATACATGTATACATGTATATATATATATATATACTTATATATATATATACA